ATAAAATATCAGTATCAAGCCTTTCCCAATTAGGGATGAGAAAAATTATTGATGATGTTGGATTAAAGATTATAGTAATAAGTATCCTATTTCTGATATTATTTAGAGTGTTTCTTATCGCTTATCACTTATCCATTATCTAGTTCGTAGATAAAGATTTTTAACCAATTGAAACCGTATCATGTAATCTGTTCAGGTGGGATGTGGATAGGGTGGAAGATCAACAGATAGATGATATTGAAAAATGGTTTAAAAATGCGCTAAAATTACCAAGGGGTTTCCATATAGCGGATATCCATACGCAAAAGAACTATCAACAACATTTACGAGGAGCTAACGTCACTTTAATGGGTGGTAGAGATATTTCTATTGGGCCAAGTAGGACAGCATGTGTCTGGATCAAAACTAAGAAAAAAGTGGAAGATTTTAGCGAGGGTCAGACTATAGGAGAGTTATTCTTAATAGATAAACTCCATCCTACAAGAGCAATGACTGTCTTGACGGATTGCAATAACCATTGGAACATTTACTTCTTCCTGATGACGAAAGATGAAAAACAATGCATAGTAACATGCAATATTGGTGATCGTGGTGTTGCCTTGGTGATAATTAAAGAGTTTGTATTTGAAGAAGGGATGTTTCTTAACGAATTGATAGGAAAAGACGTCACTTATGAAGTAAAATTGCCTGAACCTCTTAAAAAGAAAGCGAAGTTTCTTGAACGTATATTTGAAGCAGATAATGAGAATAGGATGGCAGATATAGTTGGCGACATGTCAGAGCAGGAATTATTTAACATGACAGTTCGTAAAAGATTAATGTTGGTAAGAGATTTTTGTAGACTGGATGAATAGCCACAAGTGGAGCAACTTATTAACCAGTTTAGTGATAATTATGAAAACCCAGCATTGATGATCGTATAATGCAAATATTTTTAAATAGTAACAGATGGTATTAAGCGTTTTTGTCACGCAAATTTACATTGTATTCTTGTAATGGTCTTTTAGCCAAAATGGTAACAAAAAAATAATAAAGTTATACCCATTATTTTCACTAAGTCCTCTACTTAACAATATTTTTTGGATTTGTGAAGTCGTGCTAATCAGATCTGCCTTCAGCCGAAATATTAGGGCTGTTAGATATTTTGATTTCATTACTAATCTTTACAGAGGGTAATCAAAGATAAGTATAAGGGATCTATTGATCTTTATTATATAACGTTTTTGCAAATACGTATTAATGATGTTTTTCTAGTCTTTTCTTTACAGGATCCATAATTCGAAAAAATTACGCAGGACCACCTTACATGACCAAATTCAATTCTTGTACGAATGCAAATCGTGGTAAGTAATCTCTTTTATTCACTTTGCACAAGTAAACAAAAAATCAACGAAATCACTAATCAATAAATATACTTCAATTAATCGAACGAGGAAAAACAAAAATAAGGTATGTTGAAGGTGCTTTTACTACTTTGATTTTCCTTAATATACTCTTCCGGCTTCGTAGATGATTATAATCAAATTTCGGAGGTTCTTGATATTCGCTGAGAAAATCTTTGAATATCTAACATGTCTTTAAAATTAGCAAAATCGAGTATCACCTGATTCCTAAAATCACGTGTCGTATTTGGCGTGTCAGATTAATGAAGTTTGGATATAATACAAAAATCAAAACTTAATTTCCTCAAACTGATCTCGATACTGAAGCAAGGAGGAATAGCTTGATCTTGATACATAAAGGTAAGGTTTCAGAGAGTGTTATTTATACAAACCAGGCTTTTTTCTCCACCCCAAAATCGAAATTCTGGATATGGCTCCACTTAATAATTTTTCTTAGGGCTTTTGGAAGAATACCACAGGCGAGAATAATTGGATAGGTAGAGTAGGAGGGAAAATTAGTCTTCTGGAGGTAATTTCTTTTGAAAATCAAACGGAAAGAAACCATAGTGTATTTTTTTTTCGGAAATATAGTATATAGAGAAAATGTAAATAGAAAAAATAGCAGTATCATTAGTAGATCTAGCGGGTCTAAAGAATAGGGATGCACTTTCCCAAAGAATTTCCTGGATCTGATGCATTATGTTTCCTCCTATGCAAGCCCGCGAATATATTTTATTTTATATCTTTCTAGTAATGGTCGATATCCATAATATAATAAATTTGTCCATCCAGGCTTTAATTTTTAACTTGTATAAAATTATAGTCGAAAAAATAATAGTGAATCGCAAAAGCATTTAAAGTTTTAAGTTTATTCAATGAGACCCAATTCTCGAAAATGCTTTGAAATAACTATATATGGGTCTTCGTAGTACCAAACATACCTCAAGGCAATCTGATTCTCTTCGCATAATTCTTTCTTGAGTTGATCCCATGCTTGCTGTTTGATAAAATTATTGAGATCGCCATTATGAAAGAACTTATTAAATTTTTCGTGTTGTTCACCTTGCACTTCAATCGCAAAACTATATTCTGAGTAATATATATCAAGTTCTAATCCTTTAGGGTGTTC